CGCATTCCCATACAAATTTTGGTTATACCGAAAGTTTCCGGTTATTTTTGACAACCCGCAATATGGTCAGATAAACCATAACTGCATAATTCATGATATACCGATACCGCAGACAAAAGGGAGCTGAGTGTATATACAGCGGAAGAGAAGACAACAGAGAAGAGGAGAATTCAAGATAAAGGGTGCCTGCGCCAATGTCCCAAATGCACCAGAATCGAGCCCACAGTGAAAGAAAAAACCAAGCAAGACAAAACAGCAAAAGTCCCCGCCCATGATGCTACAGTAAATTACAGTTCCCAGTAAACACTTTTGATACTCCAGATTCGTACCTGAATTTTACCTCCTCGTTGGTTGCACGTCCATCTCCGAAAGGAGAACCTCTCTGACTTTGTCCCTTGGCCCGTTCACCGCCCAGCGGTTGCCCTTGTACATACCGCACTCTCTGAAGTCAACTTTCTCAAGCTTCGGGCACCTTTCAACCAGTGTTGTGGCTGCGTCTCGCGTCACCCAAAGCCCGCCTTTGATCTTAAGCGAGGTTAAACACCTCAGGTTTATAATAGCATCCACCAAGTCGACAGCTGCATGCAAAGGCTTCGTGTCACCCTCTTTCCAAGTGAAACTTTTCGGGACATCAGAAACGAAAAGCAGACCCGTGAACGCTACAGGCGTGTACGACGCAGACTTGGTGTGCATAACTGAGTAATCCGCTGCCAGCGGTACGCCGGAAAAGTTGAGCTTCCGGATGTAGGTACAAGCAGTGAGTAGATGAATGAGTGCTCCGATAGGCACGTCTCGGGAAAGGGAATACTGTTTTAGGAACGGCGACGGAAGCGGGTGTAAAACGCTGTTTACGATGCTGGAAGTAGCGGATTTCATGGAAATGATGGATGGTCTAGATATGACTCTCTTTTTTCCTACATCGTCTCTGTGAATGGTGTGTAGTGGTGAGTCTCTGTACTTCCACTCCCTCCAGCCAGCCAATGGAACATCTTCCTCTACGCATGCCCCCAACTGTGACAGATCCAGCACACGCACCATCCGGGCTAGCATGGGATTTTGGGTCACCACCGTGACAAACTGTGCGAAACGATACGTCGAAGCAAAGCATGGTTGAGCGTATAGCGTGTACGCCACTTCCTCTACCATCCGCTTGGACACTTTCACAAGCGACAGTAGAGTAGGCTGGTCCAAGTACGAGAATATTTCATCCAAGATCTCGGAGGGTAGCTTTGCAAGGGTGGGGTGTTCATAGTAGTGTTTCCGCTTCCTAGACAGAATGCTGCTGGTTACGCTGCGGATGGACGAAGCAGAGGAGGAGAGCCTGTGGGGATGGCGGGTACTTTTGCTGGTACGTTTAGAGGGCTTCGGCTGCAAATAAGGTGTAATCAACGAAGCAATTGCTCGACGGGTATACGATGGTGGCGGGGGGCTGCTGGAATCCTCCCTTGGGACCGTATGGACATTATTAGGCTGGAACTGTTTCTTCGCCGGACGTCCCTCCGCAGAAATCGAGCGTGGGTCAGTATATAGATAAATCGATCGAGTTCCGAGTTGGGATGAGGGGAGCCCATTGAAGTGCGGGGAACGTGAGAACTGGAGGTTGTTCGACCGTTGCGACACTGTAAGGGGGTTCTTCTTCTCGGAGCGAGCCCTAGATATCACTTTGTAAGCTTCCGCAGAGCCTGATCGGATTAAGAAATGAGCGACAGGGCAGTAACGAACATCTTGACAACGACAGTAGCAACGCCACTCAATGCAACCTGTGAATAGATGACTCTTGGGTATTCTGGCAGGATTAGTCCGGAGGGGAGAGAGAGTGTGTGTGAATTCTAACGCCTGATATAAGACTTCTCGAAAGAACTTCAAAGAATAATAATGACGCAGGCCGAGAAATCAGGTTGTCGGCCTCAATTATTACGCAGATACCCCAGATACCCTAGGAAAACAACAAAGGATTCAACCCAAAGCAACGTACACTCGCAGCTGGAGACTCGTAAAGATGTAAGTAATTCATTATTTCAGGGAGCCAAACCCTCTTTAGTAGGCCCAATTCTCCTCGCCCCCTTCAGCCAGCTGGACTTCTCTCGGCGCAACATCCCAGAATCCCGCCTCAAAAAGCATGAGATAAAATCCCTCCCGACCAGACGGTAGTCCCAAGTTGCAACCACCAAGCCTGCACCCATCCTCTCTCTTTAACTTGGCACTCAAATCTGGCAGGATTTGCACGAACTTCGTTCAATTCCTGGTCTCGAGACCTGTCTGACTGGAGGGGCTTTTTCGCTCAGTCTCGGCGGACTTATTTGAGGCATCCATCCCGTGTTTCTTACACTCCGTCTATCTCTACGTGCACTTCTATTGCAAGTATGAGACTCGCCGGAATGAAGAGGCGTGCATGTGCAACTGACCGTGGAGAGGGCTGCAGACTGGCTATCTGTTTGTTAATCTATCGTAACCCCCAGTAAGCGAAGGAGGGGGAAGCCAGGTAGGTTCGTGGTCCATAATGGAATCGGGCACTGCTGGGCAAGCAAGCAGCAAGCAGCACTCGCGGGGGACCTCCCTTCGTCGGTGCATTTAGCCCCTTCCACTTATGCACACAATGTCAAGGCTGATGCAGGGGAATAAACTGGAAAAGGTTCATGTAAGTTGCACACATGGAATAGCGTCTCTATTCTTATCACTCGCAGTAGCCCCAACCCATATGCAAGGGTTTTAGGATCTCGATGAAGGTTCTTGTCGAATTTTGGCCCAAATTCGCTCTTTGTTGTACCGAGGTTCCTTCATTCGTGAGTGCCGGTGGTGCGTTGAGCCAATCTCATACCCCGCCTTTCCAGGCCTGTATCTATCTAATCGATTACGATAGCAGGATATGGGCTATCGCCCATGCGATTCGATTCTCCAGCACAACCCCCACTCGTACTATAAACGCTGAGCTTCTCCGCAGAGACTAGTAGAGTAAGTACTCTATCAGTGATCGGATAAATATAATTCTAGCATCTAGTTCCTTGGTGATACTGGATTCGGCCTTTGAAATCCAGCCACACCTTGCTGCCTTCTTCTTTGGATCCATGTGCAGTCAGCGTGGTGCGGCGCAATGCATTGAAATGTGCGGTCAGGGAGGTGTGCGGCGTGTGCCAACGTTAAATAGGTTGTGCGAGACCATCCATGGTCACAAGCACGCCCTTCAAAAGTAGAGTGTGTGTGAATATAAAAGAAATAAGAGAGCTTCTATCGAACCTCCCATATCTGCGCCAAAGGGCGCCTGACACTTGGAGTGGTTGCTTTCACAAGCTGTGGTTCTACAAAGCACTTTCGACACGCGCATAGCTTTTTGAAGTCCCCACGGATACTGCAGCCTTAGTTTATGTATACTAAAACAACCCCTGGGGTAAGTCACCTACATACATGATTTCTTTTTCTTCTGATGCAGCTCACAAAAAATAGTAAAAAAAAATTAAATGATTACTCGTCGTCTCTTCATCATCACAGGCAGATCAAAACCGTTATCGGACGTCAGACAGGCGATGTCTTCTGAAATAACACATACCACAAGAGCCCAAGAAACAAATACGTCTTTCACAGGTCGGAAACAAATGACGTTGTTGAATCGGCACTGACTTCCAAGCCGGAACCACGGAGCCCAGACCGGGTTTAAGGAACCATGTAAGCCTGTTACCATGGGAACCGCTGTTGGGACATTGAAATTCCAGCTAGAGTAGAACGAGATAGGGGCGGCAGACGCCCGTGAACCATGCCTTCTGGATGGCTTCAGGTAATTGAAAGACAAGATCGCAGCAACGAAACGGGTAGTGCACAACGAAACGGGCAGTGCACACCTCAACGTATGATGTGATGACGTAACCCAAAGAGGGAGCTCAGTTTCTGGAATCTTTTGTTTTAGTGCGGTGAGGAACAGCTGAAAGATAGGACAGATATATACTTTTGGAATTTGACAGTTTGGATCTCGATCGGGCGGGATGTCGGCGCGTCCGATCGGAATCGGCAACAGAAGATGATTTGCATGGTGATGTCGTTCGAGATTCTGTATGTAAAAGAGCCTCTAATGCGTGATTGCTTTTTTCATCCGGGGACGCTATCTTTCTTGGATAAATCACGTTCCATCCAGCGTGATTCGTTAGCGGTGGAGTATGTGATCATGAAATATCACTCACTGGCCCTTACTGCCTGCACCCTTACCTCTGGGGTAAACCGATATCACATTATCCTAGGGTCACAGGCTAGAACATATTCTTCGGTAATTTTATAAGCTACTTAGGCTCAGTATTAAGCTTAAAGGGATACCTCAATCCGGAACAATCGATGGGCTGTGCACCCGAGTGATATTTTGTGATGGGTAACGTGGTTGAGTGATCTTCTATGATCGTTATCACAAGGAATGCTGAGAATAGAATGCCAACCACCAAGACCTCTTCGCCATATGAGGAAGATACACGTGTTCGGATTTAATTTATGGCGACGGCAGTTTACAAATCACCAATAATTATTTAAGCAATATTCTGTTGGTGCTTCAAACTACCCGCAGTAATTCGTCTCAGCGGACAGTTACACGGACGTCGAAGTTGCCCTTTACAGCGCGTATTCGGGGGCTTTTTCAAGACAAATGACCAGATCAAGGAATTTTAATGTCAATATTAGCGTCCGCTGAGACGAATTACTGCGGTAAGCCTACTCCCAATATTATTTACAGCAACCGAAATTCTAAATGCCCAGAATTGTGGTGCCGAGGAATGCTTATAATCCCGAGTAAAAAAAAAATCTAATCTCTGGTGACTGGTCTTTGCGTATGCAACTACTTGTTCGACTGCTTGTGACCCCTCCACCGAGCTGTTTCGTGGTTCCACAGAGTTTGGTGTGGTGCATCGTTGCCACGCAAACTCCGAACCATATCCCCATCGCGCTTAGCCCGAATACCACAAGACCTCAATCTGCTAATGAACTTCAGCCAAGTTTTCAAGATGCCTAAAGTCTTGCAGAACCTTCAAGCGCCGTTGGTGCAGGGGTAGCATAGTTGCCTTCCATTCATCTCTGAAAAGGGTCGAGTAAGCAACTGGGAAGGGTTCGAGTCCCTTACGGCGTATCTGTAAAGTTATGTTTTTTTTTAGTATGGTTCATCAGCAAAAAAAAAGAACCGCCAAGACGAACTGTACGTCCAGACGTACCGATTCGTCTTTTGCGACCAAAACCTCGTCTTTTGCACACAAATACTCGCCTTTTGGTCGTTCTGCGCTTCCCGGGACTCCAAAAAATGACACGTCATCTTTTGGCGCCTAGTATTCGTCCCAAATGTGACACCTCGTCTTTTGAAGCCTAGTTCGTCTCCCAAATGCGATAGCTCATCTTTTGACGTCACGCGGATGTGATATTCCGACTATCTACTGGCGCTAATGCTAATAGCGCTAGCTAATGACGTCAGATTTGACTCGAGATTCCACCCACACCTCCACCTCCACCTCCACCTCCACATATACACCTAGCTACCTCGCCTCCTACCTCACCTCCTACCTCACCTCCTACCTGTATCCACACCTCCTGCCTGTATCGACACCTCCTGCCTGTATCGACACCTAGATACGTATTTAGCTTCCTCTGCAATTTGACGCCTTTACTGACTGCGCTGCAGGCTCCAAATCATGCAGTATATCGACGCCGCTGGAGGCGTCAAATTGGGCAGTATATTGACGCCGCTGCTGACGCCGCTGGAGGCGTCAAATTCCCAGTATATTGACGATTATACTGACTCCGTGTTACGTAGGGTCCGTAGACAAAGACGTAGAGGTCCAAGGAACACAATCTAAGCAGGAGGCTTCAGGGTAGACCCTAAGCAAGCGAAGTATCTTGGAACACTCTTGGCCGACCGGACCAAGAGATCGTAGACATAAAACTATAGAGGAATAAAACTAAATAATATTCCTTAAATACAAGAGGTTGCGTGAAGAGAAAAGGAAAGGAAGAGAAACAAGACGTAGAGTGCAGACAGGACCCTTTATATAACCGAATAACCCCTGTCCGAGTCTGACTCATCACCGAACCTAATGGAAACACATAGAAACCCATATGACTCATCCTCCGACCGTTGCCACCACACTTCTCTTCACGCCACAACACCTTATCCTAATACCTGCCACGACGCCATAACAGATCACGTCCCCCTCCGAGGCCTAACTCCTGGTAGGCATAGGCTTGTTTGGATATCGCGTATGAAAGTCTTCAACCAAGTCAGGCGAGTGTTCGAGGTCCTCAGGTGGTTGCCATGAAGGTTCGGGATATCCGGCATATCGAACTAAGTATTCCAACCGGCCTCTTCGCTTCCTAGAATCCAAGATTCCTTCAACTTCCCACTCCTCCTGTCCTTCAATCTCCACTGGGGGTGGAGGCAGTTGCTGTTGCCCTGGAACAGGGTCGCTTGCGGCTGGGGATAGTAGCGAAACATGGAAGACAGGATGAATCTTCATGGTACGTGGTAGGCTAAGTTCGTACGCATAGGGGCTGACGATTCTTTTGATAGAGTAAGGTCCGATCCGTTTCCAGTCAAGTTTCTTCGAGGGCCGTTTGGTATTGATGTTCCGTGTTGCAAGGAATACTTTATCCCCTATAGTATATCGAGGTGCGGGTAACCGGTTGATATTAGCATTGTCCTCCGCTATCTTCTGCGCCCGAAACATTTCGTCCTTTAAGAATTCGAAGATGGCTTTCATATCCCTTGCGATCCCATTCGCCTGATCTTCCGCCGTGGTCTTCCCATGTTGTAAGGGGCCAAAGGTCATTCGGGGATGTCTTCCGGTATTGGCGAAGAATGGTGAGACTTGGGTGGTTTCCGAGGAATGGTTGTTGGCCGCAAACTCCGCCATCGGTAGCATGGATAACCAGTCATCTTGTTGGTAGGAAACATAACTCCGAAGGTACTGTTCCATGACTGCGTTGAACCGTTCCGTTTGACCGTCAGTTTGTGGGTGGAAGGCTGTCGAGTATCGCGGTGAAATCTCTAAGCGATCACACAAAGCTTGCCAGAATTCAGCTGTGAATTGAGTTCCACGATCCGACACTATCGTTTCTGGTAGACCGTGCAGTTTCCAGACGTATTCCAAATAAAGTTTGGCCGTTTCTCGAGCATCGACCTCCTTGGTGGTTGGTATAAGGTGCCTCATTTTTGTTAACCGATCGACTACCATCAGAATCGCGTTGCATCCCCCACTATCCGGAAGATCTGTGACGAAATCCATAGAAACATCCGTCCATGGTCCATCTGGGATGGGCATAGGTCGCAGTACCCCGTATGGCGCGTTCCTGGTCGTTTTGCTTCGGGTACATACTTCGCAGTTCCGAACGTATTGGTCCACATACTTTCTCATCTGCGGCCAATAGTATTCCCGACTCAATAGTCCCAATGTCTTGGCCCTGCCTGGGTGTCCCGCCGATGGTTTGTCGTGATGTTCCCGAAGTAACCGTAAGCGAAGGTCACTTTCTTCTGGTACGTACAATGCCCCTCGGTATAGGAGTCGACCGTTCTCGTCCTCCGAGCATTCAGCCAAGGATATCTTCTTTGAGTGTTTAACTCCATTCCGTAGTAGGGTCACGATTTTGTTTGGGAAACTATCAATCTGGTAAGCATTCGAAAACAATTCCTCCACAGTGGACATTCCTTCAGCGGATTCATGTTATGGCGTCGTGGCAGGTATTAGAATAATGTGTTGTGGTGTGAAGAGAAGTGTGGTGGCAACGGTCGGAGGATGAGTCATATGGGTTTCTATATGGTTCCATTAGGTTCGGTTATGAGTCAGACTCGGACAGGGGTTATTCGGTTATATAAAGGGTCCTGTCTGCACTCTACGTCTTGTTTCTCTTCCTTTCCTTTTCTCTTCACGCAACCTCTTGTATTTAAGGAATATTATTAGTTTTATTCCTCCATAGTCCAACGTCTACGATCTCTTGGTCCGATCGGTCAAGAGTGTTTCAAGATACTTCGCTTGCTTAGGGTCTACCCCTAAGTCTCCTGTTTAGATTGTGTTCCTTGGACCTCTACGTCTTAGTCTACGGACCCCACGTAACATTAGGTTGCGTCTCCAACGCCAACCAACACAATCTATAGACCAACGCCTACCATGTCGACCCTCATAGACTACGAGGAGTTAAATCAACAACTCCAATCCTTCTTCGAACAATACCCGTCATTCGAGCCTGAACATGCGACCACTCAAACGTATAGCCTCCTGGAACGAAGTCGGGCAGCGTTAGCTCAATATGCCCAAGACCTCGAAGCTGCCTACGCACAAGGAGAGGAGGCAAGGCATGCCTTCGAAAGGGACCTGGCCGCAGCCCAACAGGCTCAACAGCAGCAGGCCATCCCACTGGAACCCCTGCCGAATGCAGCAACAGCCCCAATCACCGGCGCCACCACTTCGAATACTACCCATCGCTCCGAGAAACTCTCCGACCCTGCTGTGTTTCGCGGCGACCAGGACAGGGCTCGGTTACACCTATTTAAACAACAAATGAAGATCAAACTCCTGGGGAATGCCGATCGCTTCCCAACTCTACAGTCGAAACTCTCGTATGCCTTCGGTCGTCTTGAAGATATCGCAGCTAGTCAGTTCCTCTCTTACACCACAAACGAAGGCATCAACCTACCATCCATGGAACGGTTTTATGAGATCCTGGACACTGCCTTTGGGGATCCCGACCGGGTCTATACCTCTCGCAGAGCATTGAGGGACATGCGCCAACGTAACCGTACCTTCTCCGATTACTTTGCCGAGTTCCAACGACACGCTTCGGAGTCTGGATTTGACGAGATCACTAGAGTGGAGTGCCTCTTGGAAGGAATCAGTACTGAGCTCATGGAGGCCATGGTACATCACGAGACTCCCAATACGGTGGACGGCTGCGCGACACTCCTACAACGGCTGGACAATAGGCAACGGGCGATTAAGGCGAGGCTGAATAAGCGAAACCCATTTACCACCAGCAGCAGTAACCCTGTCGCCCAACGCACAGTACCTGCTGTGGTGTCCCCGTCGCGCCCCTATGTTCCTGCTCCTACTCCCGCCCCAGCAAACCAGGCATCGCCTGCGCCTACTCATCCATCCCACGCACCAGGTGGTGATGTACCTATGGATCTCTCGGGGGGCCGGCGTCGCCCCACTGCTACGGAAAGAAATGCTCGCTTGGCAGAAGGAAGATGTTTTTATTGTGGGGGGGTCGGACATCTGGTGAGGAATTGTCCCCAGGCTAGGGGACAGGGTGGAGGTCAAAGAAGGTATACCATGAGGGGGGCGGCAATCAAGGTGGAAGAAAGAGAGGACTCGGACAATGAGTCGGCAAAAGATTTGTCCCTGGCTTAAGTGGCATAACCCAGGGACCCTTTGAGGATTTTTCTAGGATGCGTATCTCTACTTGTTCGGTATCGGAGGAGGAAATGGATGGGAATCAATTTGTAGTAACCTGCTCGGTTTCTCAGAATAAAAATACTTTTGTACCCACCTTTGCTCTCATTGATACCGGAGCCTCAGGATACGCGTTTATAGATGAATCCTTTGCACGCCACCACAATCTCGCAATGACACTACTAAAATTACCTCGACGAGTTGATGTGATAGATGGACGACCTATTCAATCGGGCAAGATTACTCACTTCGTTACCCTTGATCTTGACATACACGGACATCGCGAAGAAGCACCATGCTTTGTTACGAAGTTGGGATCGTACCCTATTGTGATGGGGATACCATGGATGCGAAGACATGATGTCAAGCTAAGGCCTAAAAAGAACAAACTAATCTTCGACTCACCAGCTTGCTGTGAGTACTGCTCCATCGACAAAAAACCCATTGTGGCTCGAGGAATTTCCATACCGGCACCGGAATGGAACCTGTTGGATCTTTCCGGACTCAGTCAAGCTCCGGCTCGGATCCAACAGATCGTTCAACAGCTGGAGACAGGTGCACACTTAATCCATCTCTCGGCCCTGGATCAGACACCAATCGACATTCGGAAGATTGTTCCCTCGGAAAATCATGACCTGCTACCATTATTTGAAGAAGCCGATGCGTCGATATTACCCCCACACCGAATCCATTACGA